CGGTGGCTGCGCGGATGCTGGGGTGGCCTCCCCGCCACCCCACGCCGTCACCTCCGGCCGCCCAGGCTGCTCTCGCCCAGGGGACGCTGCCGGCTGCTCTGACGGCCAGCGGCTCAGAGTCCGCCCCAAACTCCTCCCTGGGCGTCAGGATGTCCCCGCCCCAGTGCGTGTCCGGAATAGGCGTCCGAACAACGCCAATCCTGGGGTCTCTCCCTGGTCCCCGCAGAAACGGACTCTGGGGCACAAAGGACCGGGAGGTCAGCCAGACAGGGCTCGTCACTGCCTCCCTCCTCTTTCATGCCGCTGTCTGCCCTCAAACCAAAGCTCAGCTTCTCCTCCCCGCAGCCTCTCGAGACCCCACCGGAACGGGCTTTCCCGCTTTCCCCTTTGTGGAGACTTTCCCCTTTGTAGCGCTGTGCCTGCTCACCAGGGGTCGCGAAGTCCCCGCGCGCCTCCGGGGCAGGGGGGCACCATTTCTGAGTCCAGCCACGGGGAGAATTTACACGCATACACATAGTGCTTGCATATAAAGCCAGTAGAAATGTATTTTTTTTTGCTTCCGCAAAGAAATACGAGCTCTGCTGTTTTTTTTTTTCTAGAAACATGCCGCTCTGTCTTTTATTTCTCTGAGTATACTTAAAAAACAGGCAGTCCTTTTCCACTCAGAAACTCATTCCACGTGGTTTGGATAGAGCTAACCCTTATTTCCTCCCGGTGCCTCTGAGCACGACTCAGGCCTCACCAGTCAGATCACTCATTCCTCTGGCCACAGCCATTAGCTAAGGGATGGTTGTGTGAGCTGTGCTGTACCAATCAGAGTGCTCCCTGAGACTTTCCTCCCAATTTTGGGAAAGAGGAGCTCTTCCTTGTGTGGGCTAAGCTGGGGTCTGGCTGCTGGCAGCTCTTCTCATGCTTGCGAAAGTTTGTGTGAGAAATAGAAATACAGGCAGAGCTCTACCGATATCAGTTGAGCTCCTGGATCCCACCAGGCCTGAAACCTACTACTGCTGCACTTTGGGGTTGTATATACCAATAAATCCCCTCCCCCGTTTTTTTGCTTAAGTGGGGATCAGCTGGGATTCTGTCACTTGTGACTTAAAAGTCCTTATCCAAGAACCAACATTCTGGAAAGTTCTACCATGTATCAGCCACTGTGCTATGCACTTTAAATTCATGATCTGTTTTAGTCTTTTGTTTAAGGACCTTGCATGGTAGGCATGATTCCTTCAGTCTTACCAACTGGGAAAGAGACTCAGAGCAGTTAGTAAATTTCTCAGGAGCACACAGCAAGTGGCAGAGCAGAAATCCTGCACTTTCTGCCCTGAACTCCTATAACACATACCATACCCAGCTGATAGCATTATTTCATTTCTCCATGAACTTGTATCTGACTAACCATCTAAACTGTAAGGTCCTCCATGGCAGCGATCGTGACCACCACACAGGCCCCCAGCACCTCGCATCGGGTGAGGCACATCATAAATCCTGAACAGACCCTTGCCGAACTCATGACGTGCCCATGGCCCTTCACAACAGGCTCGTCATAACCCGAGTCATGGAAGAGAGACGTGGGGCAGAGGGCACAGTTGCACCTGCTGAGCTGAACATGCTCTTTGCGATTACGACAACCAGTTCTCCCCGGGAGCTGACCCCATGCATCATCCATCCATTCACTATCCATCCATTCTTATAGTCAACAAACACTCTCTGAACATTTATCATATACCGAACATACTGTAAGCCTCAGGATACTAAGTGAACAAGACTTGGCTCCTGTCCTCAAGGATCTTATTTGTAATTGCCTTTTAATCACCCTGAAGCAAATTTCCCAAAGCATGGGCAAGTTGCTGTTAGAGTTGTTGAGCACCTTTCTGGATGGTTCATCATTGCAGCTCAAGTATTGTCCAGGAGGTGGACATCAGCCCATACTTCGCTTCCTCAGCCAAACTGGCCCCACTTCAACCAACAGGGCTGCCACAGTGCATAACTCCAGGAGGCATCATTCACACAGACTAATGACATTCTCAGAAGTTGAGCAGTGTGCAATCTGTACAGCTGTACGTGGCACCCTTATAACCCAAACAGGACCCATTAATGATACCCCTTTCCATTCACAGTCACGTCTGTGGAGCACTTTACCATTTACAGGGAATTTCACCTACGTTACATCAGTTCAACTGAGAAATTCTATTTTGCTTCTCATAATGCAGTCTCTCTCTTCTGCTCTTCACCCTGTGGGGTTCTCTGTTGGCTCCATGAGCTCCCTGTAGCCCCTTCTCAGATGATGACAGCCCAGCTGAACTGGTGACAATTACCAAGCACCAAGTCCCATTACCAGCCCCAGGCTTTCTCCCCACCTACAACACTTACCTGGAATTAGCAGTGGTCGCAGCTCGGCGGAGGGCACGGTGCTGGTGATTATGAACACGCTTCTTGTTCGTCTTTTCAGCCCCGAAATCCTGTCAGTGAGCAGAAGCGATAATAACACGTTATTAAGTTCTTTCTGGGTAATGTAATTCAGGAGTCAGGAGGCAGTGTGGTCATTTGTGTCTTTGAAAAACTTAGAATAATTTTCAGTGTCATTATCCCCCATTGTAAAGAGCCAGGCTCCAATGTATAAATATATATCTGGCCACTCCTGTGGGTATCTAGACTCACACATGTACTCTTAGATGTGCACGTGTGAACGGATATACAGGCGTGTACACATAAGCACAGGGTGTGGGTAGGTGCTTGTAGAAATCAACACAAGCTTTAACATATTTATAGCTCTATGCGCAGGAATAAAAACTCCTTTTTTAAAGGATTGTGGCTTCTACAATCCAGGTTTTCAGGAATTAAATTTGACTCCTGCCCTCTCCCTCGACATGGAGAGGAGTCTCCCTTGTTGCTCGCCATTGTAATACTCAAGGGAAGAACACTGCTCGTACTACACCTCCATGGCGTGCGGAGCCAGCGTACAAGGAGGGCGTCTCAGTGGCCCAGTCCTCTCTGTAGCTCCCCTTTTCCAAGTCCCTAGTTCCTAATAACTTTCTCAGACCTTTGATTTCATCTGAAGAAGTCTATCTGGCAGGCACCAATTATTCGCCAATTTTTCCCTAACGCCTTGGACCTGTGTTACAGGAAAGGTGCGTCTATGGTATGTGCTAATCTCCCTCGTTAATGGAGTTGGTGCCTTAACTGTAGACTGGAATTTCCAAGCCGGGAGAAAGTCGTGAGATTCTGTGAGCTGGCTCCCTCTTTGCACAATGGGGAAGGGGATGGTCAGAGTGGGCAGTAACTAGTCCGAGGCTCCTGAGTGTTAGTGGCAAAGCCAGGACGCGAACCTGTGCCTCCTGGTCCTCCACCCAGAGCTCTTTCTGGTAACGTGGTTCAGCCTCCACAGAAGGCCACTTCGCCTCACTCCAAGTATGCTCTGCCTGTATATCTTGGTGAGCACAGAGATGGGGATTGGGGACGAGATTCTCTATAACCTTGCTCCAGGCCTGACCAGCTCTTGTCAAAGCAGTTATAGGGCAGGGGTGAAAACATGAAGATGAAAGCCCAGCTTCTGACCCCAGCTTTGCCAAATAGCCCTGGACAAGTTCTTAAGCCCTCTGTACTCATGTAGTTGTCTGTAAATTAGGAATAGTAATAGTGTTGAGCTTATAGGGTTGCAGTAAATTAATACATATAAGGTGCCTGATGTATTTGATGTGTTGACTATTACCGTTAACCCTCATCTGCCCTACAGCATTTTCATCTTGTCCCCACTAAACTCTTCATCTCCATTTTAGACATTGAACTCTTTTTTTTTTTGCCGAGGAAGATTGGCCCTGAGCTAGCATCTGTACCCATCTTCCTCCATTTTCTATGTGGGATGTCACCACAGCATGGCTTGACAAGTGGTGTACAGGTTGGTGCCCAGGATCCGAACCCACGAACCCTGGGCCGACAAAGCAGAGCACGCAAATTTAATCACTATGCCACCGGGCCGGCCGCTAGACACTGAACTCTTAATATGGCTTGTGACTTAATATTTCCCATCTATAGCTTTACCTCCTCCCTTCAAGGTAATTTCATTCACTCCCATGGCTCCCCAAATTTACAGCTCCTTACCCCATTTACGTGAATTTACATTCAGTCATTTATTCATATAGTGCCTATCATGGCATTATATGAGTGCCTATTACGAGTGCACTCAATATGAGTGTCTATTATGTGCCAAGCTCTGTTCTAGGTGCTGGGATTTAGCAATGACTACAACTGCCTCAAATCCTTGTCCTCACAGAGCTTACAATCCTAGTGGGGTTGGGGGTGGACAGAATCTCAAATTGTGATCAGTGCTGTGACAAGAAAGCAGGAAAAGGGCATAGGGAGTTCTGGAGGGAAGGTAGAAGTTACTATTTTAAGTAAGAAATGCCTCCTCGATAGGATGGCATTTGAACACCAAGGAGAGTAGGGAGCCAGCAGCTTGGCTATCTAGGAAATCATTCCAGGCAGAGACAACAGCAATGAAAAGCCTAAGGCTGGGATGTGCTTCGTATGTTTGAGGCCCAAGGAGGCCTCTCTGGCTGGAGTAGAGTGTGTGAAAGGGAAAATAGTAGAGTTGAGGTCGGAGAAGTGTTGGCCAGGAGGGCAGATCAAGAAGGGCTTTGTAGACTATTGTAAGGGCTGGGTATTACTTAGAGTAATATGGGAACCCAATGGAGCGTTTTGATTAGAGTGACTTGATATGACTTATGTTTTAATGGAATCTTTCTGGCAGGCATGCTACGAGGAGATTGTAGGGAGCAAGAGTGGACACAGGGAGACCATTTGGAGGCCACTACAATAAGCCAGGACCATGATGGGACTGGGGACATCATGTTCTGGATGAATTTTTTTTTTCTGCTTTTTTTCCCCATATCCCCCCAGTATACAGTTGTTTATATATATATTTTTTAGTTGTGGGTCATTCTAGTTGTGGCATGTGGGATGCTGCCTCAACATAGCCTGATGAGCGGTGCCATGTCCTTGCCCAGGATCTGAACCGGTGAAACCCTGGGCTGCTGAAGCAGAGCTCGTGAACTTAACCACTCAGCCATGGGGCCAGCCCCTGGATGAAGTTTTAAAGTAGAGCTGATAGGTTGCTGAGGATAGGATGAGGGGGTGTTGAGATAGAGAGAGGAGTCAAGGACGACTGCCGGGTTGTGGCCTGGGCAACTGGAAAGATGGTGTTGTGTTATTAACCGAGGTAGAGAAGATGAGGGAGGAGAAGGTTTCATTTTTTTGGAAGGGAGGAGTCGAGTTTGATTTGGACATGGTTAGTTTGAGATGACTTTTAAACATCCAAGTGGGGATTTTGAGTAGGGGAGAGGTTGAACCTGGAGATATCATTTTGGGACGCTCAGTGTAGAAATGCTTGAAAGCCATGAGACTGGACAAGATCTTGTGTGAATGAGTGCCAATAGAGAAGGTCTGAGGACTGATGCCTGAGGCCCAATGCTGTAGAGTTGGGGAGATGAGATGGAACATACGTAAGGAACGGTGAGCTAGGAAGAAAACTAGACCCTGGAAGCCAAGTACAGCAAGAATCTCAAAGAAGAGGCATGACCATCTTTGTTAAACATTGCTAATAGTATAAATAAAAGAAAGATTGATCATTGGATTCGGCAATGTAGAGGTCTTTGGTGACCTAGCCTGATTAGGGGCCTGGGGTTGAAGCCTTGTGGTTGCAGCTGTGTGACATAGCAAACTAGTGGCACAAGGCACAGAAAAAGAAATCCACATGACTTCTAAACATATGAAAAGATGTTTGCCCTCACTGATAAAGGATGAAATGCAAACTAAAATGACACTAAGATACTTTTACACCTATCAGATTAGTCAAAAGACAAAAAATTTAATACTACACTGTGTTGCTTGGGGCATGAGGGAAACAGGCACTTTCCAACTTTGCCGATGGGAATGCAAATTGGTACAAACTCTGTGGAAGAGTGTATCAGAGTTAAATTCAGGGAATCAGAAACCATCTTAGGTATTTCAAGCAGAAAGGGATTTAATATGGGGACTTAGGTGATGGTAAAAACCACTGGCAGGACGGGAAGAGTTAAAGTTAGGATTATAGGGTTATATGGCTATTTTTTTTTCTTTTTTGATCACACTGCCCCAAGCTTTGATCAAGAGGTCTGGAAAGCTGTTGCTGCTGCCCAGAGACTAGGAAATCACAGCTGAAGTCACAGCTGCCTTGCAGCTGGGAAGTCAGTGATTAGCTGGCTACTGCAAAAACTCACAGTGGCCAAAGTCTGGGTGTCAGCTGCCATCAGAATCAGACTAAGAATGGCTTCTACCCACTTCAGTCTTTTGCATCCCATATTGGCAGAAACTAACTGTATTCATATCCCAGTTGGGAAGGAAGCCTGGGAAATGTAGCTCCCAAGCTTCTAGCCCCCATGATCCATATCATCTCCCTATGGGAGAGTATAGAAGGGGACTAATGGCAGTGCTGAGTGCCAGTATATAGCACCTAATTCTGTCCAGCCCTTGGGCTTCTCAGCATCCATACATACCCCTTGTCCATATTTAAATTTCCAGCAGCTACAATAAGAACAACAACATGCTTCCATCTAAAAAAGCATGGTTACATAAAATAAAGCAGATGAGAAGGTAGCCACTCTCTCCCTGAAAGGGAGGGACCCAAAGTCTCATTGGTCATTGCGTCCATCTCTGGCTGATGTTCTTTTCCCTTCTGGTTCAGTCATAATTCCATTTAATATTCTGAAGACTAAATTATAAGATTAGCTGCCACTAACACTCTTTGTATAAAATAATACAAGAAAGATAGAGGAATAAAATACCTAACAAAGCAAGGAAGAATATATGCATATATACTACATTTTTGCAACCAGCCTTTGTTGGCTATTAAACTTCCTTATTCTGCATTATCCCTCATTCCTTGCCCTCCACCGGCATTCAGCTGTTCAGGGTTCTCTCTCTGGTGGAATGACCCAATCCTTCCTTCCTGAAGGATGTGCTCTTGGTGGTCCTGCCTGTGTTGGGTTACTGTTGTCTTCCATTAACACTTACTAATGGACATAGAGGCACTAGTAGGCATCTGAATGAACCCTCTGGGTTCCAGACATATTCCTCTCAGGTCACCACGGACTAGCATCTGTCTTATTCTCCCTTGACAATCAAGAACAGTCAGAACTGAATTCTGCCAAGAACTTTAACGAGGTTGAAGAGGATCTCGGGCTCCAGATGAGAATGTAGGCTGCCGACACCTTGACTTTCGCCTCGTGATATCCTGACCAGAGAACCTAGCAACGCCATGCCAGACTTCAGGCCTACAGAACGGTGAGCTAATTAGTAGATGTTGCTTAAAGCCCCCAAGTTTGTAGTAATTTGTTGCACAGCAAAAGAAAACTAATGCACATTCAGAGATCAGAAAGCTATATGAACCCAATGTTCAAAATTGGTATTATTAATAGTGGGACAACTAGACGTCGTGTGCCTGTGGCTGTGATAGAATTGCAACAGGAAGTTCACAGTGTCACTCTAAACTAGTTTGACCAATCGTGTTAAATTGGAATCAAACCATCTTTTAGATTACATGACTGCTTGCATTTGTCAAAACGCATAGAACTGTCAAGTAAAAAGGTTGATGTTCTCTATATACAAATTATACCTCAGTAAACCTGGCTTAAAAAAAATAAGCCTTTGGATATATCTCCTTTTCCAGGAAATACTAGGAATAATTGAATGACAGCATAAGGAAATCGATATATTTAAAATATGGGACATTCTACATGACAGCTGGCCTGATCTCTTCAGAGTCAATGTCATGAAGGGAGATTGTCCTAGATAAGAAAAGATTTAAGAGGCATAATAAACAAATGCATTGCATGAAACTTATTGGATTCTGCTTTCAGAGAAACAGCTATAAAATATGTTTTTAGGACAATTTAGAAATTTGAATATGAAGTGAGTTTTAGGTGATATTAAGGAATTTTTGCTATTTTTTGGTAGGTATAATATTGGTATTATTGTTAATTGGAAAAATGTCCCTCCTCTTTGGAGATACATGCTGAAATATTTGGGGGTGAAGTGTCATGCTGTATTTAATTTAATATGAAATGATTCAGTGATGAGGCAAAAAATGGCAAAATATTAATGATGGTTGAAACTAGATGGATGATACATGGGTGTTCATTGTATTCTTTTGTTTCCTGCAGGTTTGAGATTGGAATTGAAATTATATTGAAACAAACAAACAAACACGAGGAGAAAGCTGTTAGTGGACCCACATAGCTGCCCTATACAGGCTGGAGACCCAAAGTGGGTGATGGGCTGAAGAATATGGAGCCTAATGGCCACTGCAGAAACTCATGTCTGCTGGAAATGCCGCCTCAGCAACTGTCACTGGCAGAGGAAGAAGGGCTTCTCCCTCCCTTCCACCTTCTAAATCACGTGTGTGTGATTGACCAGCCGAATCCCGAACCCTGCTGGCCAGGGCATTTGATCATGCAGGTAATGGAGCTTAAGCTTCAGAGCCCCTCACGTGCACACCCATCTTCCAAGGCCCTGGGAGGGCCCCAGCAATGTGTCCACGTGGTCAAAGTAAGACATTTCAACTACAGATAGTTAAAACTACCCGTCTATTTCTACTCTGATTTTCCTTGTGTCACACTTTCCCTTGTATTAGATGGTATTGTAATGGCCATGGGAATTTTTGGGATCCAGCTTAGAAGTTGAGCTGGGGATGCATTTAGTTGGTGTCTAGAGGGATATGCTTCATGTGGCTTGCAGTCCTTTGCTAGTTGTCCTGTTGTAGGAATGGCTTCCGTGAATACCCCTCCTGCTCACTGGGCCAACTCCCCCCGCTTTATGAGACCAAGGGGCAGGGACAGAGGTCATATCACGATGTGAACATATCATGATGTGAACGTGTCCTGTGCCCAGTGTCAGACGTACGTTGGTAGTGGAATAGAAGAAAGGTTAAAATGCACAGACCCAGAAGCTAGTCTGTGTAATATTCTTCCATTTATTTTTGAGATGTATAAAATTGTAAGTAGAGGATTTGGTACTCACTGATGCCTAGTAAAATGGAAGCTCTCTCCTATCAGGAACATGCTCAATAATGTAGCTTATACACTTATAAACACAGCAAATATTTTTTTGATGGGCATTATGAATCATAGAGTTTTATCAGAATTCTCATATTTGTAGGGCAAACCTGTAGTAGTACTACAAATAGCATGTCTCATATGTTTTATGCATATCAACTATCAACAATAAAAATAAATTTTTACAAGCCATGCTGAAGGAAAAATTCAATTATCTTTTTATTTGTTCTCCAAAAGATATCACAAAATTTTGTCCTATGGAAAAGTGATCAGAGATCATACAGCCAAAAAAAGGTAGGGAAAACAACCTATTATAAAGATGTGTTGGCTGTTGAATAGTTCTAATATTATTTTCCCGGATGTTGTGATGTTTATACTATTTCAGCCTTTAAAAATTTACATTATATTATGATTTTTTTCTTATTCTAAATAGGTATTTGTAATTTTGTATTCTTTTACTGAAAGAAGGTCTTCACAATTGTATAAGCTTTCGACAGAGGATGGCAGAGCAGAAAGAATCTTGATCCCTCATGACACTTGGAAGCCCAGGGCAGCTCTGGATGGCCCACCTCCAGACTCCTTTTATTTGAGGGAGAAATAAATCTCTATCTTGTTTAAGTGACTGTTATTTTGGCTTTTCTGTTATGAGCAGCCAAACAGAATCTTAACTCATATGCCCTTTGACTCAGCAGTTCCACTTCCAGGAATTTGTCCTAGAGATATACCAGCACATACACAAAATGATGTATGGTTAGGGTCACTCATTGCAGCAAAAGATGGGAAACAATCTATATGATTATCAGTGGAGACTGGTTAAGTAAATTACGTACATCCACACAGGGGACTAGTAAGCATTGTACGTTAGGAGGAAGCTTGCCATATTGATATGGAGTTATCTCTAAGGTATATTGTTAAGAGAAAAAAATAAGTGCAGAACAGTGTGAATACTGTGTTATTATTTGTGTAAATGATCTATCTATCTATTATCTATCTATCTATCTATCTATCTATCTATCTGTCTACATGCCATTGGTTGCCTCTGGGGGCAACTAAGTGGCCGAGGACAGGAGTGGGAGGGAAACCTTTCACTGTGTCCCTTTCGAATAATCATGTGAACTTTTAATCTGTTTTAAAATATATAAAATTAAAGTGAAAATTAGAAAACATTCTTACATTTAATACTTGTATAACAAAACGTATTATTTGTTTTTTTTTTTTAAACTCCTTTCAGATTAAAATAAAACCTCTTAAGTCACCCGTAAGTAGACATGCTCTAGGCCTGGCTCGCCCAGGACCGCCTCAGTTTATGCCTTGTGTTCTGGTGTAATTATCAATATCGTGTCACTTCACTCTCAACAGTGTCTTGGTTTGGATGACATATGTCATGACTCAACTCTGTAGAACTTACCACGTTGTATTTGCAATCTGCCTCTACGTCCTGAGCTGTGAGCTCTTTGAAGGCAGGGACTATGTCTGATTTTTCCCGGTGTCTTGGCACACAGTCAAACTCACTAAATGTTTATTGCATGAATGAATGAACTCTGTGGAGACCTACGCTGACATCTGCTACTCTCTTCTCCACGGATTCTGGTTATCATATCTTGAAGAGTGTAATCTTTATGAAGGTAGGAACAAGACTTAATTGAATCAACACTGGAACTCCAACACAGCACATTGGGATGTAGTTAGCGTTAGTAAGTTTATCAGTATATGCCTGGAATATAGTGAGTACTAACAAATATCAGTTTGATGAATATAGGAATGAATGAATGAATGATTCAGTTTTTGTCTCAACCACCTGAGGACCAATCTCTTATACTGATCGTTCCCACCACTGGTGTTATGTACTGAACGTCTGTGTCCCTCCCAAATTCATATGTTGTAGCCCTAGTCCCCAGTGTGATGGTCCTTGGAGATGGAGCCTTTAGGAGGTAATTAGGGTTAGATTAGGTCATGAGGGTAGGGCCCTCATGATGGGATTGGTGGCCTTATAAGAAGAGGAAGAGAGATTCTCTCACTCTCTCTCCACTTGCTCACACCAAGGGAAGGCCATGTGAGGGCATAGCAAGAAGGTGGCCATCTGCAAGCCAGGTAGAGAGTCCTCACTAGGGACCCAATCTGCTGACACCTTGATCTTGGACTTCTCAGCCTCTAGAACTGTGAGAAATAAATTTCTGTTGTTTAAGCCATGCAGTCTATGCTATTTTGTATGGCAGCCAAGCTGACTAAGACAGGTGGTCTACCTGGCCCTAGCATAGGACGGGAGAGTTATCTCACACTGGTTCAGGGAGGAGGGGGGTTTGGAGACCTTGAATGAAGACCTTCTTGAATGAAGCTGTCAGAGCTCCCTGTGTGTCTTGGTAACGCGCTTTTCTGTGCCTGCAGTTTCTTTAGAGCATCTCATCCCAGCTGTTGCATTTTTGATGGATCACGTTCCCACACCAGGGAACACACTCCCCTGGGGATACTCAGGTTTTGATAAAGTCTGAAAAAACTGGGAGAAAGTAAAGTGCTATAATAATTCCTAAATGCCACAATTACTAATCCTACACCAGTCCTAATTATGCTCTTGGATTGTGCCGTGTTCACAATAGGTTGTGAGTTACGTAGTTACTAGTGAACTAGCTGTCATGCCATCCTCTCTCTTCTACTCAAGAATGCATATCAAATTCAAGTGACTGGTGTTGTTTTAGGGAAGATCTTGAATTTACCCTAGTTTTCCAAAAAGCAGCTAATTCACAAATTTTAGTGTTGATAGTAACCAGTGATTTTATAACTCATTGAGACACTCTAAGGTAGAGAACCAACTACTCCTTTGTTTTGGTGTTGCCTCCTTCAACATCCACTTTAAAACTGTAGATATTCTTGAAGAATAACATATCACAAACTCCCTAGCCACTTCTTTACATAACGATGGAGTGACGCCAGTTGTGATGTAGAGTTCCTTGTGTGTGTGTGTGTGTGTGTGTGTGAGAGAGAGAGAGAGAGAGGGATGTGGGGTAGGGCTTCTAGAAAAGGGATGGGGCATAGAAGTGGGGCTGAGTGCTCTATAGCTTTACAATTTTGCTTTGGGCCCCAGGACAAGACTTGGAGCAGGCATGGGGTCATCTGTGATGGGGTGATTCTGTGTTGTATGTGGCAGTGGTCACCATTTCTCCTTACCTGTGTATCATCAGGCCATATTGTCCTTTGATGACTGATTGGCACTGGGGCACCATCTTCTGAAGAAACATTGATGCCTGATGTACACTTGGCCTCCTTTTTGGTGTCCGGGTCCTGGTTGATCTCTAAGAAAGAGTGACTGGTTTGGTGGTGGGAGGCAGTTGAGAGCTTGGGCACCTGGGCTTGACTTCTAGTTCTAACACTTACTAGCTGCATGGCCTTGGGCAAGTCACTTGACCTCACTAAGCCTCAGTTTCTTCATAAGTAAATGGGGTTGACAATAAAAGTTTCTATCTCATAGGATTGTGGTGTTAAAACCAATATAGTGTTTCGCATAGGTCTTGGCACATAATAAGCCTTCAATAAATATGAACTATTATTTTTTCTATATGTTTGCTCATTCTTCTGAAACACTGAAGACCAGGTATAAAAATACATTGCTTGGGACACCACCCAGTCATCATTGATAGTCTGCCATTCAGTTTGGGATGAAGTTTATTGCTGGGACCAAACCCAAAATGAGTGAGTGTAGCCCAGCACAGTGTCAACTGGGGGAGCTTGCCTTTATTGTCTGAGTCACATCTGGATGCACAGAGCATCCTGGGGGCACTAAGCCTCTTTGAGGAATCCTGAACATGCAGGAATAAGGCAAGAGTTGAACTCTGAGAAGGGTTGTTGGAATCCAAAGCCTGAATTCTAGAAAGTGGGAGTCTGGGTGGTCTCCCCAGGGCAGTCCTTCTGGGCGGGGGGGAATTAACGTGGGAAGGTCAGGCTACAAGGAGAGGGGTATAACCATCCTACAAATCACTGATTGCTGATACAGAGCCTGGAAGCCATCTCTTCTAGAACAATAAGCTGTGAACGGTTGAGGGCAGTGGTGTGGGAAGCTGTGCCTGCAGCCTGGAACGGGCCAGCCTGAGGCTTGGGTTGTAACAAGCAATGAGCAAAAAGCTCAGTGTTTGGAAGCTTGTCACTATTCCTAGGACCTTCACTAGACCAAGGTGCCTCTCTGGGTCTTGCTTTTCTCACCTGTGAAATGGGAGAATAGATGGTCTCTTAGATACCTTCCATCACTGACATTCTGTGGCTGGGAGATGGTGGAGGAAGAAATAGTTTGCTTTTGGTGGCCTGCCCTTTCTGCATCTCACTGTTTCTCCCCCTTTCCACTCTCTCCGGGCCCCAGGGACATCCTTGCTGCTACCGGATAGTCTAGGACTCCAAAGTGTGTGGTTGTCTCGGCCACTAGTACTGTGAATTTTTTTTTCCTTATCTGCCTCTCTCTGTCCATCCACAAGGATGAGCTTCTCATTTCTCCTTTTAATTTTCACTCATGACGATAGTGTCCTTAGGTCATTCATTCATTCCTGTATTCATTCGTTCACTTGGTGCCAAGCGCAGGGATAAGGGCAGAGAATACAGTGAGAGCGAAACACACATAGTCTTGTCCTTGTGGAGTGAGCATGATGGTGGAGGAGACCAATCTCGTGACAGGTGTAACGAGAAAGCAACCAGCTCTGTGGGGTCAGTTACTGGGGGGGGGGGGGGGGAGGGGGGAACCCTAACCCTAACCCTAACCTCCTAACCCTAACGAGTCTTCTGGACGTCAGGTACTGTTGTAGGGGCGGGGACTACAGCAGTGAATGGGACGAGGTGAGGGAGAGACAACATCGAACAAATCTATAACATCAAGTGAGGAGCGCAGAGCAGACAAGCCAACGGGGTTAGCTGAGTGATGGCTGGACCGCGAGGACGAATGTGGGGATGGAGGGAGGGAAACTTGAAAGACAAAAGGAGCCTGACCCGGACAGTTTATGGGCGGCGAGGCAGCCTCTCCCTGCGCTGGTACCGCGCCATCCTCCCCTCCGCGCCCGCCCCCGGCAGCTTCGAACTACCGCTTTTCTTGGCCACGATTCCTGGCCTCTTTGCAGGGGGTAAGAGCAGCCCCCCTCCCGTGAGAAATCTGCCTTGGAACTCTCTGCTTTCTTGTTGGCGGCAGCCTGGGGTTTCAGGAGTTGGGGAATGGCGCGAGGGGAGGAAGCTGGAGGTTGGCACGTCTTCCCGCTGGCGCTGCCACCTTCCATCCGCAACAGCTGGCACAGCCTCGGGCCTGATCATTAACCCAGGGAGGGGCCTGGATTGGAAGAATGGGCTGCTGGGCCCAAGCCAGCGCCGACACTGTATGTGTGTGTGTGTGTGTGTGTGTGTCCGCACTCACGCGCTCCTGCCACCCCATTCCTCCGTCGGTCTCACCCTGGGCAGGTGCCTGCAGGGGCCCGATCGCGCCGTCCCCTGTAGGGGGCCAGGGATCGGGGAGGCCTCCTCAGCCAGGACCAGGCTCCACCTGCCCTCCCCCAACCCAAGCCCTTGTGTTAACAAAGGAGGGTCGAGTATCCCAGCCGCGGGGGGAGTCGGGCCACCGCCGGTGTGTGCGCGATCACGGATCATTACAGCCGGCAGGGCGGCCGCAGCCGGGGCCTGGCCAGGGCCGAGGGCCGAGGGCCGGGGGTCGGGGGCGAGGGGTGCAGCCCGGAGCGCCCGCAGTGTTCGGCGCAGCGCCCCCACGCGGTCTCCCTGCTCCCGGCAGCTGGGGGCACCGTCCGGCGAGGGGGGGGGGGGGGGGGGGGGGGGGGG